TACAAGGAGCGAAGTATTAGTTTTTGGATTTTCTGTAGACATCAGTGACCCATGTTATCCCAGCTGCAGTTGCCATTCACTTCTGAGGAAAGTTGGGTCCTCACCCATCAGGCTTGATTTGGCTTTAGTCCCTACTAGGGCCAGTGCAGTCTTCACAGCTCAAAACCTCTTGGACTGAAAATAGACGGAAGGCAATCTGCTCACACTCATGCTCCTGCCCACATTCAAACAAACATGCAAATAAGCCCTGCTCTTCCACAACAGCCAGATCAGAGTAGCCACAGGGCCCACAGTGCAAGATCCAAGGGCGGGACCAGCAGGTCACCTCCAAGGGGTTCCGGTTGTAGTAGATGCCCAGGTTAATTCTCCGCTTCTTGCTAGTTGGATGTGAGTACAAGAGCCATGTTCCTGATGGTCTTCCAACTCCTTCCTCCCGCTCCAGAAAACTGTCCAGCAGAGGGCTCTTCTGAGTAGTGGGAGCAGCTTTACCAATTGGGTCTTGTGAGAATGGCATCTTCAAGGGCTGGAAGCTCACTATACTGCCTTGGCAGCCATAGCGGGGCTCACAGAGTTGTGTGTTCAGGGTTGGTTTCTGAAAACAGTCACCGTAATCAGTACTAAAAGATTCTGCTCGGAATCTGTTTGGTGTCCGGGCATTGCAGTAGAGCACAAGGTTACCAGACGTCCCAGTCACTTCTGCCACTTGGCACTCCCCTGTCACCTGGGGCCCAATGAGCTTGCCATGGTGCCATGTGACTCCTAAGTCATCACTGTAGATCATCAGGGAATGGGGCTTGACTGAACACGGGAAGCAGAGGAACCTGCGTGAGAAATAGTAGGCGTAGGTGGGAATGATCAGCCTTCCTGACTGCAGCTGGATGCCATGGCCTGGGCCCACAGCAAATGTGGCCCAGTGCTTCACCTCTGAGCCAATGACCTCCTCAGTCAAGTCCTTCACTTCACCCCATGAGCACCCAGCATCCTGACTGCACAGGAAGCAGAGACGGGCAGCATTCTTGCCTGACCTAATCTGCCAATGTTCAGTAACACGGTCTGGCACACAGATGAAAAACAGGAACACACGGCTGGTACTCTGCTCCCATACAGGGCAGGGGTTCATGGTCCGATGCCCAGGCAATGTGGCTTCCATCAGTGGCTGCAGGGGTCCCCACTAGTCAAGGGGAAGAGAAGGAGATCGTGGGAAAGGGTTACTAGTAGGAAAACACAAGGCTCATTAAAAGCATCAGTTATTTTTGCAAACAATATATGACATTGAAGTGGACAGAATCTTGAAGGTCCAAATAATCACAAAATTTGCAACTATTACAAGGTGGCTTTAAATCTGAAGAAAAGATAATGCTAGCTAGATATTGTAAAAAGCGGTGCTCTCTCGAGAATGTCCTTTACTTCACCTGGACTTCCAAATCATCTCCAGAACCCGATTCCAATGTCACCTCCTTTGGGAAGCCTTTCTTGAAACCTACCCTTCTAACAAGGTACAGCAGCTGTATGGACACTATGCATATTTTTGGTAACTGTCTCCTCTTTTAGACTATGAGCCTTTTGGACAATACTCAAATTATATGCATTTGTATTCTCTAATATCTGGCACACATGACAGCAGCCAATGAAAAAGAAAAAGAAAGAAAAATGG